GCAAGATAGACATGTAAAGGAAGAGGTGGGCACAGCTCCTCCACCGAGAATCACAGAACTGACAACGTCCTCTCCAGCAGAGGACAAAGGGTAGTGCTTTCATTTAGAAGGAAAGAAGCTTTCCATTGAAATACTTTTCATGACCCTAGTAAGTGTCACCAGCCCTTTCTTTTAAAATTGGTTCTATTCGTACTGTGACTTTCATATAACAACCTGGCCAAATGAGCTATTCCAAGGTGAGGCCAATCTGTCAGTGTTTCCCTGGCTGTCTGAGGGAGCCCTGGTCCTCCTTCCCCAAGGAGGCCTCATATCCCTACTCACTGTTTTGACTGCTGCTGAACACTGAGCAAGCATCTCCATTAAACTGTCCACAGTGATTCACAGATGCCACCGCAGAGGTGACACACAACTCAGTGCCCATCAGCACTCCTTCCAGGAGATGTAACCTTGCATTTTACCCCAGGGTCCCTGACTCTGCTCAGCTGTGCCCCCTAGCCCATCGGCCTCTCCCTTTTGGCTCACTGAGGAGCCCAGGCTTTGAAGATACTTTGTGCAAATTAGCCTATGTGAACACGGTGTTTTCAGGGTTCTGAGGCAGAGTTGTTGTCAGCTGTCTTGTTAGCTGCTGTCCAGTCAGCCTGACTCAAGGCAACACCATGCGCAATGGAATGAAATGCTCTCCGGTCCTGCTCCATCCGCATGATCAGTTTCAGATAGGATCATTGTGATCCATAGGGTTTTCATTGGCTGATTTTTGGACGTAGATTGTCAGGCCTTTCTTCCTAGTCTGTCTTAGTCTGGAAGCTCTGCTGAAGCCTGTTAAGCATCACAGCAACCCACAAGCCTCCACCGACAGACCAGTCAGTGGCTGTGCATGAGGTGCAATGGCCAGGAATTGAACCCAGGTCTCCTTCATGGAAGTTGAGGATTGTACCACTCAACAACCATTGCCTCCCTAGGTCAGAGGGGACACTTGAGCATGCAGAGGATCTAAGGGGGCAAACAGGAAGCAGGTAAATAAACCTCAGCCCTTGATGCTCTGTGGCAGTAGTGGAGGAAAGGATGAAATCCCAGTGGGTCTCTCTTGGCTCTGGAGTGCAGTGAGCCCCCCCCTTCCACATTCCTGCCCTCTCCCTCTGACCCTCTGTACTGGCTGGTTCTGCTTCTGGCAAGCTGGGACATGGCTGAGATATGGAGGAGAAGAGGTCTGGGTAGTTAAGACCTAACTGGACAAATTAATTCACTGCAAACCATGTACCCTGTGGACTAAAATGGTGAAGAGATGGTAGAGGCTAAAGAGAGAAAAGTGAGATGGATGAATTCAGAGAGGTTTTGTGGAGGATGGAGCTCGGAGAGAGATTTAAAGGAGGAACAGGAGCTAGGCCTGCAAGGGGAAAAGGGGGCCATGAGAGTATAAACAACACACAAACCCAGACGGAAAAAAAAAATGCTCCAGGCAGTTCACGAGCCTGGAGCTCACTGAGAGACGTGAGTCTCTGTGGTCCAAGTGAGGCTAATTGCAGTTCAGACACTTGCCAGGAAGTTCATTTAGGTTGCATTTTGCTGGCTTATGCCACACTGACCTCTTAGGGTCAGCAGATGCCCACCCTCACCTCAGCCCTGTTCAGCTTGATGACCCTTGCCCTCTCACCCTGCCAAATCTATAGCTCAGGCAGCCCTGCTTCTGACCAATAATGATCTGTCTTGGCAGACCCCACTGAGCCCTCACTCTGGGCCTAGCACCAAGCTCAGTACTTTACCTGGATTACCTCACTAATCTTCACAGCTACCCAGGGGCAGATTAATCAAACGGTAAACACGGTATGCACCGGCTTACAGTAAGCAACATACTCATGGACTTAATTGTTTACTTACTAACCTATAGTGCATAATTTCGCCTGGGTTTAATTGTGCACTACAGATTAGTAAGTAAACACAATTAAGCCCGTGTGTACCTTGCCCATTGGGTAGTCTGTCCCTGCAGCAACCCCATCAGGAAAACATTGCTGCTAAGATTACGCTCATTCTGCTGAGGAGGAAGCTGAGGTTTAGAGAGGTGAAGTCATATGCTCAAAATCATACAGCAAGTACCTGCCCAAGCCAGAGCTTGACATGGGGTGTGACTGTGGTGATTGCATACTGATAGGTGTGTCCAGGGACAGTCCCCAGCTTCCTCAGTCAAGGAAGGCCTTAGGAATACTTCTGGTTTCCTGCAACATTTACAGCTTCTAAGGTGCTCCAGTGTTTGCATGGTGGAGGCACACATTTCTGCTTTTATTGAAAAAATACCCCAATGTTACAGAAATAGCATAGTCAGGATACTGGGCATCCCTCTTTCTGAGTGCTCAATGTGCTTAGGTTGATGGCAACATATTGCCTCCGAGAATTCCACTGCTACCAGCTCCAGCTGGGAGACTAATAACTAAGGCAATTAGAAGAGCTCACATTCATTAGGCACCTGTTACACTCTGCTGTGCTGAGTGAGGTAGGAAATTTTGTTGTCTCCACTTCAGAGGAGGACAGAGAGGCACAGAGAAGTTGTGTCTTGCCCAAGGTCACACAACTGATTAGTGGCAGAGCTAGGACTTGAACCCAGAGCTGATGGATCTCTTGAAGACTGTGATCAATTGTTTGGGGGTGTCCAGGGTGGAGCAGCTGTCGTCATTCATAAGTCAGTCAGTCATCTCATATATTGAAAACCTACTATGTGCAGAGCAAGAGGAGGGGAGAGTGTTCTAGGGCAGTGGGTTGGGCAAAGGAGGGTGGGTGAGGGTCTCAGACCAGGGGATATAGTCCTAAGGTGATGGGATGCTTTAGGAAGCATGTAAGGAGCAAAGGGGCGCCAGGGACAAGGAAAGGAACCAGAGCTGAAGGGAAAAGAGTTTCCAAGAGCAAGACCTATCAGTTTCACAGTTTTGTATCAATTTTGTTTACAGACTAGTGGGATTATTTGTTGGGGTGCCCCGTGGGGAGTTATGATGGTGGGTATTTGGATCAAGGCACAGGGAGGAAGTGCTAGGAATTGCAGCTGGCCGCAAAGGCACTGAGTATGTGTGTGTGTGAGGGTGTGTGTGTAAGGAAGACATATGGAGTGAAGAATGCCAAATAATTTTTATTTTGCCATTTCAGACTGTCACACGGGCTTTGGGGCAGCTATTTTTGTCTGTTTTTGTCATTCCATGTACACGCAGGGCCACTATACTGTAATTCCCTGGACTTAAACGGTTCTTTAAATTGCTATTCAATTTACAGAGGTGAGGTTTTCTCTTACCCAAATTCTCCAGCTTAACACTGCTCAGCTCATTCCCTTCAAATGAACTGCACTATGTTTTATTCATAGTAGCACTTTGCTACTAGTTCAGCGATTTCTTTCCTTCAGCATTTTCAAATGAGCGTTTACTGGTACTGGCAAGTTAATACTACCCCTACAACTGTGATCCATTCCTGTAACACAGGGGAGTCAAGGCACTTCTAACTTTTAATTTCTCTTAAAATGAGCTTACAACTTCCTATCATCCCCATTTGGATGCTTTTACAACTGACAGTGTTTTAGCTTTATTACTTGTAAAGAACAACCTTAGGGGACATATCTTTGGCTTGGAAATTCCATCTAGTTCAATGCCTGGCAACAGCTAAAATTATGTCCCAATTTCCTCCAATACAGACCTTTGTAAATATCCTTTCAATTTGGACTCTTAGGATTTTTTTCTTCTTTTTAGTATATTGTTTTGGATGTAGGGGGTTCCATGGAAAAAGGATATTCCTCTGTGAACTTAAACTTGTGATGTAGCTGCTCAGGGCAGTGAAAGAACCATGTGGTTGGTGTTTGGTAACAATTTCAGCTTTATTCCCATTGCTATCTCTGAATGAAAGGTGAGGGCACAAAACAAGGAGAACAGCATCTTTATATTCAAAGGATAATCAAATGTTGAGAAGGCAAAATAGGGTTGCCATTAAGGGTCAGATGCATTTTGGTTCTATTCCCAGTCTATCAGATATGTGTCCTTGAGCAAATTATTTTAACCTCTCTGGGCCTCAGTTTCCTCATCTGTAAAATGGTGATAGTAATAGCACCCACCTGATAAAACTGTTAAAAAAATTCGCTAAGATCATGCACACCCAGCGACTGATACATTGTTCTTGTTAGTCGAGTTGACTCCAACTCATGGCAACCTTATGTACAACTGAAAGGAATGTTGCCCAGTCCTGCATCACCCTTACAATTGTCTGCATGTTTGAGTTCATTGTTGGGGTTAATGTGCAAATCCATCTCATCGAGGGTCTCCCTTGCCCTCATTGGCCCTTTGCTTCACCAGACATGATGGCTCCCTCCAGCAACTGGTCTTTTCCAATGACCTGTCCAAAGCAAGCGAGTTGGACAATGTTCGGCTGTGATCCAAAGGGTTTTCCTTGGCTAATTTTTGGAAGTTCATCACCAGGCTTTTCTTCCTAGTCTGTATTAGTCTAGGAGTTCTGCTGAAGCCTGTTCATCCTGGGTGACCCTGCTGGTATTTGAAATACTGGTGGCATAGCTTTCAGCATCATAGCAACAGGCAAGCCACCACAGTATGACAAACTGACAGACAGGTGGCAGAGACTGATACACAGTACATGCTTAATAAGTGTTAGCTGTATTACTCTTAGAGCATGGACATAGAGAAAGCCTGGCTCTAATATTTGTGCCATCAACCTAATGTTAATATCCTAAGGGAGAGAGGAATTAGTATAGGCGCATCTAACAACTAAAACCATGGCCCTTTTTGGTGGTTGGTATTATAATGGGATGATCGATCTTTATTCCTGGGAACCCAAACTGCCTGTTCAGTAACATTTCCAACTCATTAGCTAAAAACCATCTCTGACAATCAGACATTTCTACATATGGCATTAAAAGGTCCTTGAAATAGAAGGGAAAGAAACATTAGGCTGAGTCTGTCTTGTGGTAAATAGGTCATGTCACTTAATTTGGTATCAGCAAACACCCTTCTAATTCCACTCACCACACTGAATCTTTCGTGAGCTTGGAGTTCACACTCCCATCTTCTTCCAGGAAGACATCCATTTGCAAATTGGCATCGTTATCATGGGCTGAGAAATAATTGGTAACGACTCTCGCTGGTATCCCAAGGCATCGCAAAACTACAGGAAGAAGGGCAGACAAAACTGAAGACATCACCAAAATTAATAGACATGCAGTAAAAATCCCTCCTTATAAGGGAATTTCTTCTTTACCAGCATGAAAAGTCCTTTTGCACATCTTGTCCTCAAATGTTCCATACTGAATGAGGGGGATTGTTATAAAACATGGGAGTTTCAGAGAGAAACCTTGAGTGCAAGTTCAAAACTGCAGTTGGCTCCAAATGAAGCCAACTGGAATAGAATCCTTATGACAGGGTTCTCATTGTTCAGTTTCTAACCATACACTCTTCAAGGTAGTATTGCTTTAGATAAACTAATGGGACTATGTTCCTGAAAACAAACAAATAAACAAAACAGTTAATAGAAGATTAGGAATTTACAAGGCAGGTCCTTAGTAGGGTTTGCTCTCGGGGCTGGAGTGCGCTCCTGTGGCACTCAGCATTGGGAGACACCACAGAGTCATTTTAATTGTTAGATAATAAATTACCCGGATGCATCTCTTGCCATATGTACCTATTGATTAAATTTAATTCAAATGTCCTCCCTGGCTCCCAGGACTCCAGCCATCAGGGCTCATTGAAAATAATTCAGCTGACAATTTTAAGATTAATGACTTGGCTTGCCGTTTTTCCTCAGAATAGTTTAGCATTTTAAACCAAAGACAATCCCCCTCCTTCAACAGAATAACCTTGGAAGTCTGCACTGAGTCTGGTGGAGACTTTGGAGTCCTCCTCCTTAAATGACTTCGTCTTAACACCCTGAACAACAATGGCTGCCACCATTTGCTGCCCACTCCCATCTTCCTCACTCTATTGATTTACATCCCCTATTCATGCCAGAAGGAACTCTAGTGACACAGTGATTAAGTGTTCGGCGGCTAACAAAATGGTCGAAGGTTTGAACCCACCAGCTACTCCATGGGAGAAGGCTGTGGCAGTCTGCTTCCATGAAGATTACAGCCCTGGAAACCCAATGGGGCAGCTCTACTCTGTCCTATGGAGTTGCTATGAGTCAGAATCGACTAGAGAGCAACGGGTTACTCATGCCAGAGTAGTAGAATTCTCGACTTCCATGTGGGAGACCCGCTTTCAATTTCCAGCCAGTGCACCTCAAACTCAGTCACCACCCATATGTCAGTGGAGGCTTGCGTGTTGCTATGATGATGAACAGGTTTCAGCAGAACTTCCAGACTAAGATAAACTAGGAAGAAAGGTCTGGCAATCTACTTCTGAAAAATCAGCCAATGAAAACCCTGTGGATCACAATGGTTCAATCTACAACTGATCATGGGGATGGTGCAGGACTGTACAGCATTTCATTCCATTGTACATATGGCAGGCACTATGAGTTGGGAGCTGACTAGATGGAAGCTAACAAGAACAACAACAACAACAGCAGCAACATTCATGTTACAGTTTTCCCAATGAAACAACTGATATCTAGTTCTGTTTCTGGCTTAACACTAATTTACATTACCACAGAGTGAGAACCATTTTTCTGAGTTTGCCTTACTTCTAATTACAAGGGAGGAGAAGCTTGACTTGGAGGCACCGGTACCTCCTCCTCCAATTTCCCTCTTCAGGTTTACTCTCCTTTTAACTCCTCCACAGTGTGCTTCTGCCTTTCCTCCTTAACTTGCCAGAAAAGCAAGTTTTCAAGAACAGATCTCATGACACTTTGATCCAAAAAGCATGAATGGATGTAAGCTGTTTACTATTTTATCTTGTTCCAAACCCAGAGGAATTATCCTGGGATGGTGAAACTTCAGGCAAGGGGAGGACTTGGGGAGGTAGGGGTTCCTTTCTCTTTTTCCTGAAATCATTTCTCAAGAGTGGTTGCTGGCATTGAGCAGCTTCCACATATTCTTAGCTTGGGAGACTTGAGGAAGTGAGACTACCTCCAACCCTTAGCTCATCATGAAACTGAAGTTTCCATCTAGAACTTCAGAGACCAGGACTTCTAGGAGACTAGTACTTGTGACTTTTATTGTTCCCAGGAAATATATATTCTTTTAGGTCGTGAGTATACTAAAATGGATAAGAATATAATTTTATTCAGCTTGATGCCATGGGGAAAAACCAAAACAAAACTCATGGTTTCTTTCCACTTCGATCACTGACTAATTCTTAGGCTGATGCAAATTTGAGCTGAAACTGATAGGTTTCATAGTCATTTTAAAAAATGGCTTCACCCTGACCTCCAGCCTCTACTTGGCTTTTCTGATTAAAAAACTGCTAACTAGATCAAATATTCCTTATTAACGAGCAGGCAGAAAAGAAATTCAGACTTGAGCTTAATGTTTTCTTCAAGACTGTAGAAAAGGCATGTGAATGAAATTCATTACTAAGAATGAAGGCATACTGAAATAAATGCATTTTTAAAAACATTCATTGAATTAACTATAACATTGTCTGGGCCTAGAGAGGTGAACGCCACTTTGAAAAATGGTGCATGAGGCAGAAGAGAGTAATTCTGGTCCCATGCATTTTCCTCTACAGACTGGATACTGGGTGGATTAAAGACCAGAAGGGAAATTGGCAAGGTACAGGTTGTTCATTAGGTCCTGATATCGAATTGCTCAGGGGCATTGAGTAAAATGCTCAGGGGCATTATGTAAAAATGGAGTTGAGGCCACTTGCCATGACCCCTTCCATAGCTGGGCAAAGATTAAGAGGATATGTTTACAAAACTTCTCAACAACAAACAATGCACAAATAGCCATATTTATAAAACTTTTAAAAATTAAGCCATATATATCTTTTCTTCTTATTTATTATTTAAAATTTACTATTTAAACATTTTTTAAATGTGAGGGGTGACTGAAAAGAAAATATTTTATCCCTTTCTCCACATCTTATTTGGCTTCTGTGACCCTCCATTTCTCTAGGTGTTTAGTGATGTATCATATGGGAATAGTCCATCATTCTTTCTATAAAGATTTTGTAGTCCAAAAGAAACTATGAGCATATTTGACCGAGTGCATTTTAATTATGCATTGACTACATCCTGGAATACTCACCCATAAATTTTATACAGCCAACAGGGGCTGATAGGTCTCTTTGCTAGATTTTAGATAACGTCATGAAATAAAATTTCCTTTACATTAAAAAAAAAAAAAGGATACTCAATTGAATACCTACATGTGTTAAATACACCAGCAAAAACCCAGCACTGGCCATACCGAACTGGACTCTCAGAACTCCGGTATTCCAATAGGATGTCAACACTTCCAGTCCAGGCTGAGGGGGCGATGCCATAGGAATAGATATTGTCCCAGGATCCAACGATGACACCTTCATCGTCTTTGGCATTAATCTAAGTGAGGCCACAAGTAGTGAGAAGGAAGAAAGGTCATTTAGATGATACTCTACAGACTATGCAGAGAAACTATAAGTAGGCAAGCTAAGGCTTCCAGTGTCTTCCATCTATCTTGAATGGTAAAAACAGTTCCACTTCTTGTTTAAGCCCCTGTTCTGTTGTCAGGAAAAAATGATATAATGACTAAATATACAAGACAAACCCCTTGCTGTCGAGTAGATTCCGACTCTTAATGACCCTATAGAACAGAGTAGAACTGCCTCATAAGGTTTCCAAGAAGCGGTTGGTGGATTTGAACTGCCGGCCTTTGGTTAGCAGCCGAGCTCTTAACCACTGCGCCATCAGGGTTCCAACTGTACAAAACCAAACCAAACCAAACCCATTGCTGTCGAGTAGATCCGACTCATAGAAACCTGATAGGACAGAGTAGAACTGCCCCCATAGAGTTTCCAAGGAGCAGCTGGTGGATTTGAACTGCCGACCTTTTGGTTAGGAGCCATAGCTCTTAACCACTAAGCCACCAGGGTTTCCCTAAGCATACAAGGGGTAATCAAATAACCAAGACTATCTCTTAAATGGCATATTATTGTAGTAAGATTAGGTTGAGTAGCAGATAGGAAGAGTTGTAGCATCTTCTTCACATGACTGGGAGAAGATGAACATAAAACACTTGGTTTGTGACAGAACAGTGAGGAAGAGAGGAAGAAAACATATGAGAGAAGAAAGCTCAGGCAGGGATCTAGTCCTGGTGGAAAGAGAATTCAAAACGGTCAAGTGGGGAATTAGTGGTCTAATTCTGACTTCTGTGATGAGTGGCAGACTCTAATGAGCTGAAAAAATTAACAGATGGCATCACAGAAACTATTGAGTTAAGAAAAAAGAGTCATACATAAACCTTACAGAGCTTGTTTCAAAAAAGTTAAAGAAGTATTTTCTTTATGATTCTTTAAAGTAATTAAAGTTTTATAGTTTTGTTAAAAGATGTTTTCATTTACATAAAGGGTCTGGGATATTATGGTTTAAATACAGGAAGACTTAAGCAAAGAAGCCAATATTTGTGAAAACCTTGCTACACATTCAGACTGCAGTCACCCGGTAGAGCCGATCTACAGTGCAGGGACAGTGACCTTGCATGCTTCAACAGTAAAGCAAAGACAGTGAAGTAACAGTTTGGTGGCATCCTGTCATTTTTTTCTGGGGCACTGCTGAATCTTTCTCTCTCTGTGTAACTTTCATCACATTTAATTATAGTCAGAATGTCTAGGTGGCAAGCCGTGGGAGCTTTTAAAAAACTCATGCCACACCAACAATTTTTATATGTTGACATGATAATATTTTAGTCTATGGGCCAGCAGTATTGACGTTCCACAGGAGCTTGTTAGAAATGCAGAATCTCAGGCTCCTTCCCAGACCACTGAATCATGATCTGCATTTTAACAAGATCCCTACTAGTGCACATTAGTCTGAGAAGCACAAGTTCATAGTTTGCCTAAAAGACATTAGTAAGCATGATTGAAACATGTGTGTTTGGATTATGAACCACAGAAGAAATGTTAAAATATAATGAGTTTGTATATGTTCACTGCCCCACCAACTAACAACTCAGCCTCAATACGGGCCCAGGCTCCTCTCCTAGGCTTGCCAAGTTGTGTAGGGGTCTGTTTTCCCCACTGGTTCATGAGTTCCTTGGGAACAGAGATAAAATCTACGTCTTTGTGACTTCTAGCAAGTATTGGCAAAGGGTTAGTGCTCAATAGTTATTGAATAATCAATTAGTGAGCATATAGGCATTATAGATTTGAATACCTTATCTTGGAAGAGCCATGAACAAGAAACCAATCAATCGGAAGTAGTTCCTGGTATCAAGAGAGAAAGACGTACAGGCAGAGTGGGTGTCCAAAGTAGGGGGTAATCAGTTCTGTCAGGTTGGAGGGAGTGGTGGTGGTCGGGCTTAACAGAGGAGATGACATGCAAGCTAGGTCTTGAGGGCTAAAAGCCGTGGAGGAAACAGTTTGAATTAGAGCTTGGTGTCATGAAACAATATGGGAGGTTCAGAGACCTGCTAGTAGCTTTGCATGAGTATCACATAAGTAAGCAATATTAAACAAAATACTAGAAGAAAATACTTAAGATGTGTAAGCACATTCTGCTGTGAAAGACAGGCCCTCCACTGACACATGATATTTACTGTAGCACTGATTGGCATTTCCCAAAGACAGTCCCTCTGGGGAGTGTTCTCTAAAAAACTGCCATTCAGTTCTGTTTAGATACACCATTTTCCCCCTTCAACATGTCCAGTTAGTTAAAACCGATGGAGAGTTCTGGTAATTACCCAGTTAATTTATTCAATGTAGAAAAGCCATTATTTGGAGGCTTTTGAAGGACCTTATTCAGCTAATTGCAAACTCATGCCTTTGATGTAAACTTTTGACTTTAAGCTGTAGCTCCATGACACGACTGGGGTGCAAAAGGGCTTAGCCAACCATTTTGGCCTATTCATGATCAATACTTCTCACTGCAGTTGAAGTGATTATTAAAATGTCTGTGTCTGTTATAAGGAAGCTTAAAGAGTGACTGGGTAGGCTATGATGTGATATGGTCATTGTGAATAGGTAGATTCAGCTTTGAACTCACATTCACATTCCACTGTCATTGAGAAATAGAATAGGCTCTATGAATCTATAGGTTAAAGTTCCTAAAATGTGGTTCTGAGGATGACTGTAAAACAGATAGCTATTAATTAGAAGGATTATTTATGGCATAAGGCTAAACCCACTCAGCTAAGGGGAAAAGTAAGAAGAAGAAGAAAAAAAGCTCTCTCCTTTACAGCCCTTTTAATTGTTAACGCAAGGCTGTTCCCCTATTGCTAGATAAATCACAACTCTCATTTATTAGCATTTGACCAGATTAACTACTGTTTTCTAATTAGAACATTGATTTCTGGGGAGCCCAGACACTGAAAGAGATAAGTGTTTAGTAACAGATGTAAAGGGTTAAAGTAATACCTCCTTTCCTAGACAACAAAATATGCTTAGGGAACACTTCAAGGGCAACACACGCTGGTCCTTTTTCATGTGACAGCTAGCTGTTTGAATACTCTATCACGAACTCAGAGTTTACCAGTGGCAGAATGAAATGTCTTGGCCTTGAGTCAAGAAGACAATATGAACCTTAGACTATGGACAGGGAGCATTATTCAACTTCATTAAAGGCATGTTAAATTGCCCCCAAAACACTTACAAAATTGAAAAAGTAAAAATCTAGCATACCAAAAGTCACTATCTGTAATCTAAGTGACATAACATAATGCAATAATTTTTAAAATCGGTGCCAAGAAAAGATAGGAGGATTATGGCATGGAGAAGACAGGCAGCATGACTCAGCCCCTAACCCTAACACTACCTCTTCAGATGCCCCATTGGCAAGTCAAAAAAGTCCTGAGATTTCTCATTTATTTCACAATTGAGAGAGAGAGAGAGAGAAAATGAAACTGAATAAAAATTCTAATCTTTTTTCTGTTCTGACCAAATAGTGGAAACAACTACTGTGGAGAAATAGGTGTAAAAGGATCTTCACCTCTAATAGAGGTAGAGACTATGGGAGTAAAATGGGAAAATTATACAAAGTCTGAGAGTATCCCCTCCATGGGAATGAGATACACAACCAATTAGGTGTAGTGGATTCTGGAATGCAAAATTTACAAAGTCTTAAAAGAAAGATCAGAGCTCAAGTTTTCTAACAGAGATCTCCCATCTCTTCAGTTTCTCCAGTTCTCCCAACTCCATTCTCTCTAGGTTATTAAAGATTAGATACAATGAAATACACAAACCTCAAAAGGTAGTTTGGAGGAGAAAGCACACTAATCTCAGATTGAGAAGAGTCAAGATTTCATCTACACTATCTCAGAGAAAATAGAATACCTGGGAAAGAGCTGCATGAATACAAAGAAAAGAAACAGTAATGGGGGAGAGGGAGAGAGAGAAAAAGAGAGAATGCACACATGAAAAAGTGAAAAAAAAATCATATCTGGAAGGAAACAAAATTAAGGAACAGAAAGAAATTTCTCTTAGGACATCACAGACCTAAGGGAACAAACTGAGGACCAAAGCACATCATAACAAAACTAATAATAAATTAGAATCTATAAGAAACACAACAGACACTGCTGGAAATAAAATTAATGACATACAAGAAAAGACTGAGATAATCAGAGAAAATGCTAATGAAAAAGACCATTGAAATTATTTAGAGAGAAGCTAATAGTGATGGAAGACAATGAAGATACAACATAAGAACAATTTGTGTCCTCAAAATAGAGAACCCAACAAGTGAAACAAAAGATATAGTCATGACATAATACAAGTATATTTTACTTAAGTGATGAAAAACTGAATCTATAGGTTAAAACAGCAATCTGTGCTCCAGGAAAATTTGATGGAGAATGTTCATTGTCTAGATATGTTTTAATTAAACTATTGAATGTTAAGATAAAGAAATAATTGTTCAATTATCTAGACTGAAAATGCAAATTAGCAACAAGGTGGAGAATTAGGCTGTCTTCAGACTTCAGCTGATTGGGAGTCTATAGTAAAACACAGCTGAGCAAAATTTACACAGTGTCCTGAGAGATAGAAAGAGTGACCCAAGAAAATCATGCATAGTTAAGATGTTGTGCAAATAAAAAAGTAAGCAGCACATATTTTCAAACATGAAGTATGTCAAGGAATATAGTAGCCTTCTTAGCAAAACTATTTGAAAAGTAATATCATAATAATTAAAACTGAATCAAATAAAGAACCCAGGAACAGAGACTCTGTGGTAAAACAGCTTGTGACGAGAAAAAAAAAAATTAATATAAATTTAAACAACTTTCAGAATTATAGGTACAGAATGAATAGGAATTAAAAAACTTGATAATGTAAAAACAATTAATAACTAAGAAAAATTAAATGTGAGAAGAGAAAAGAGGTAAAGTAGAGTGAAAGTACCAATGTTTT